AGGAAGCTGCAGGTGATCCAACCAGAAGTGACAAGGAAAGAAGAAGAAAGGATGAAGCTGATGTGAGGAAGAAGCTGCGAGAAAGGCGTTAGATGCAAAAGAGACATGGAGAAAAGAACAAAAGAGTTGAAGGAAATGAGAGCCGAAGATACTTCTCTTCACAGAGGTTACCTCAGCATTGTCAGTGGGCCGATCCTTAACAAAAGCTTTCGCGTTTTTCTTTATATAATTTCAGCAATAACTTGCAGCTGAACAGTTTACAAGGCGGGAATGTCGAATTTCTTCGTGGAGTGCGAGTTTTCATTGCAATTGATGCCAGACTGTTACGCCTAAATGCTGTTGCTCACATTTGTTGTGTAGGTTGCGGTCGCAAACAGTCAGATTCCGAATTTCGCGCTTTTGCAACGGACGGTGGGCATGATGAAGAACCCAGATCTGGATGGTGGAAAACACGCAAGAGGCTGGACTTACAGTTCTTTGCTCAATCAGAGTTAGGTCAGACCCGACGCTGAACGTTGTGAGTGTATTGGAGCGACTTTTCGGTGATTGAATTGGACAGATTTTTTGCCGGACTCCACAGCTGTTGCCCTTCTTGTTTTCCCATCATCTTTTGCCGAGCAGTCATGTCAATTCAACGTTGTTTCTGCGGTGGTGAGTCTTGTTTTGCCTCAACACCAAACCGCTTTTGCCAGCTTTTTGGATTTTTGATTCATTGCCATGCTCGAAACAATCCATATACCGCAGCTTTAAACACAGTCATGCTCCCGATCCTGTCAAAGCAATCCTGCGATAATAGCCAACTAAGCCAAGCAATCCCCAACCCCGAAAGCAATTCACTTGGTCAATCCTGCGTGTCAGATTGGGCAAACAGAAGGTTCGCAGGGGATTTGACAGCACTGTCGTCGTGTCGACAATGGACGTCGATCATGAATGTGCCTATATTAGAACCACCTCAGGTTTTCTGGAATGTGTTGTTTTTTTCTGCATGGTTCGGTTCAAAAAGGACGAAGACCCATTGCAATCTTCCCGGGACAGTTTTAGCAGGGATCATGGCTGAAGAGGAGGACTTCTACGTGCGTTACTACGTGGGTCACAAGGGCAAGTTCGGGCATGAGTTCCTGGAGTTCGAGTTCAGGCCAGACGGTCGACTGCGCTATGCCAACAATTCCAATTACAAGAACGACGT